CTCCACTTATCCCAGCCTCAGCTTCTTTGCCTGGAGAATAGGGGTAGAGTTACAGATATAGCCTACCATAGAAGGTAGCTGTGAGTATGGAATAGCATGATGAAGAAAATGCAAGGGCACAAGAAGGGTAAGAAGCCCTCACCATACCATGAACAATCATTTCTCTCAGCATCATGAAGGAAGCCATGTTTAATGAGCACTAAGTGAAAAGTAGTTGAGTGTGAAATGGAAGGAGGAGAGGAAACTGCTGTTAGGATATAATACTGAGAGGTTATGCAACTTCTCAGTTATAATTATATATAAAAATTTGACCTTATATTCACAGACAATACTCAATGAAACTTAGATTCAAACATACTCATTTAAAAATTATTTCATTTTTAATAGTGTGTGTGTGTGTGTGTGTGTGTGTGTGTGTGTGTGTGTCTGTATTTTAGGTATGGTAGCATGAGTGCAAGTGCCTGCACAGGCTAGAAGAGGGTATCAGAGTCCCTAAAGCTGTAATTACATGTGGTTGTGAGCTGCCAGAAATGGGTGATAGGAGCCAAACCTGGGTTTCCTGGAAGAATAGTATGAATTTAATCATTAAGTCATGTTTCCTGCCTCTGAACACATTCTTAATTCCTGGACTGCCTTCATTCTTCTCAATGGTCCCTACCCACTCTAAAGAGGCATCTGGGACACTCTTGGCTTAGTATTTAAGCTTGCTGAAGGACATCCCAGGTCAGTTTGTCCTCTGTTAATCATAAGTTCCATAAGACAGCCTCCTGATAAGTCTTGTCTTCTCCAGTGTCCACAGTTCTTTGTATAGAACCCAGATACAGGAGAAATGGAGCCTTAAACATCCCCCCATTCTCTCCCACTTCCAAGTGGCATACAGTTGGTTAAAAGCCTCTCTTGCTGTTTATTTACCCTTATTTCTTAAAGGCCCCTCTTCTCCCAGAAGGCTGTTAAACACTGCACCATTTAATTTCTCCTCCCAGTAGAATCTGCCAGATGGAGTCGTTGTCCTAAGCCATGTGAATTTATCTTGTTTTAAAGAGGAGTGAGCATTGCAGGAAACTAAAATAGCAGTGAGTTCCCAGGTGCAAGCTCACTGAGCAGTGGGACAGGCAAGAGTCTATGCATGAATTCACCTGGGGCAGCTGTTGCAAGCAGGCCATATTAATCAGGGAATGACTCTGGCTGGTGGCTCCTGGCCAGCATCTGGTCACATCTGAGTGTCACTCAATGTAGAAGTATGCCACTTTTATGCTTCAGCTAAATTCTGCCACTTCTCACCTCCCTTGGCTAGACACCCTTGAGCTATGCATCCTTGGCTGCTCCTCAGACATGCTGGTGACAGATGAAGTGATGAAGTATACCCCAAAGCACTGAACAACCACAGAAAAGTAGCTGAGTGTGAAATGGAAGTGTCCCTAAAGGTCCAGTAAATTATGTCTATCATCCTATAACATAGCTGGGCTAGGTTACTGTAACATAGCATTATATAATATAATACTTCTACAAGTAAAATTTCTCAACTGTACCCAATATGGAAAGTCCCATGTACCCATACTAAAATGCATTTCCCCATTTACTTTTTTAATGAATACTAATAGTCCCGGTACTCCAGTCACCCTCCAGGGACTCCTGGAGATAGCATGGGCCTGGGAACAATGTTTCTGGGAACTTGTTCCAGGAACCTCACTCTAGAGCCTGAGCATCAATTTGCTGCTATCCCTCTTTTCTAGACTTGGGGGAAGGTTGAGAGGGTTAGGGGTTTTGTTTGCAGGTCATCACTGCCTGACCCAAGCCACAGAAGGTAGTTATTAGCATAAAAAGCATGAAGAAGAAAGATGGGATTGGCAGAGTAGTGGCAAGCCTGAGGTAAAGAGGCAGGCCTCCAGAAATAACCATGAATGTCCCTCCCCTATCCGGTTCTGTCTGATGAAAGAATTGGTCTGTAGAAACAACTGTCCAGGATGGTGGTGGTGTCATTGGGACCCAAGGAGTACTGTAAAGATGCAGAGCCCAAGTCTGGCAATGCCTGAATCATGATGAAGATTGACAAATTAGCATTCCTGGTTCAGACAGACATATATTCCTAAAAGTGTATGTACCCAAAACTAACCTCCAAGGCCTTCCATCTTTTATTATCCCAACCTATATCCCATACTTAGCAATGGAGACCTTTATTGGGGGTGGGATGAGAATTGCTTTCACTTATGGAGGTGCCTTGGCCTGACTTTGCTCTGAATGTAGAAACCCCGGCTAGCATATGTTGACCATCCAGACGATGCTCAGATTCAAGGGTGTTCTCCCTAAAGCTGATCTCACACACTGGGTGGAATGTTGAGGTTGTAGCAATCAATCAAACTGATACCCTATAGTCCCAAAGGCCAGGAAGAAGCAAGAGGAGATGCAGATAAACAGAGGGATAACCCTTTGTTCCTTTGGGCAAGTTTGCTATAATATTTAAGAATCATTTGTTTGCTTTCTCTCAAAAAGAAAAGAAAAGAAAAGAAAAGAAAAGAAAAGAAAAGAAAAGAAAAGAAAAGAAAAGAAAAGAAGGCAGTAGAATATGAACCCATCCTTCATTCTGTGGAAGTCCATTTGACACTGACAGCCTTTAAAGATCCTTGTACCTGAGCACTTACAGGTGACCCCAGGGCTGAGTTGCTCTGACTATCTTGGTGGATGAATATCTACCCTAAATATAATAAATGAATACCTTTTTGTTTTTCAAGACAGTTTCTCTGTAGCTTTGGAGCTTGTCCTAGAACTCACTCTGTAGACCAGGTTGGCCTTTAGCTCACATAGATCTGCCTGCCTCTGCCACCCAAGTGCTGGGATTAAAGGCGTGCACCACCACCCAGCACAAATAAACACATTTTAAAATACATGTGTGAAATGATAGAATGAACTACCACTTGTAGAACTCTCCTTGTTCTTCATTTTTAAGAAGAGATATGGGGTATAATAGGTGCTTCAATGGTGACAATTGAAAGTTGTGTGGAAATCTGATTCCTACTTTATCACAGAAGAAAAAGATATTAATAAACTGCTATAGAGATACTGTCTGCATACAGTAGTCATGTAGACATTATTGCAATGGAATAGTCTAGGGCCACTATACTGGGTTTCTACAGCCATGGAACATCTCCACAGACCCTGTGGTAGTTTCAACATGCAAGGCCACTCACCAATCCTCATGTGCCTGATGAGCTATTCACTGATGAGGTCTTCTTCCAGTCTTCCAGATAGAAGATTCTTCATTTCAAGGACTGGGAGAGTCTTCTACAGGGACCATGTGTGAGAAAGATGATAGGCTTTTAGGAGGGCTTTGCTGAGAGTCTCCAGCGAACCCCCCAAGAAGGCAGACACCAATTCCTTGATCCTCTTTTGAGTACTTTTTATTCACATCTTTTAGATATAGACTTGTCATGCCCAGGTAGCTCAGATTCCAGCAGAAAACAGCATATGCAGAAGGGCTCAACATCTGTGTGGAAATAGCACAGATGTAATCTGTCTCCCCAGGCCCATGTATACTTAAAGAAACCAGCTTCAAGCCAACAGGGCTCTGATTAAAAGACCACGTGTGGAATATTGGTTTGGTTTCAAATCCCATGTTGAAAGAGGAGTGTTAAACATGCAGTTATAGAAGAAAACACACCTTTAGGATAGGTCTTGACACTGCATGATCCAAGGAATAATTGAGGGCATCTGGGGTATTAGATGTAGCTTGGCATGCATGACCAAAAGACTTTATAGGACCCTTTTAAAGAGTTCTTTAAAGGTAGAAAATATGAGCATCTGTATTACTTAAAAGAGCAAACTTTGTCAAATACTTGGCTGGGTGGAACAAAGACTTTCTGATATGTGAGCTCTGCATGAATTGGATGTCCTGTTGGGAGGGAGGGAATGGGAAGGTTGGAACTGTGATACCAGCTGGAAGGGACTAGCAGTGAAAGCTATGAGCTTTGACATCAAGCTGGATACAAGCTCAGGTTTCAACTTGGGTTTATAAGACTTGGAAAAAATTGTTTTCCAAGTTTCTTTATTTGTGAAATTCAGATGCTTGCACCAACAAATTGTCATGTAAGTGAACAAAATGTTGACACTAGTACTCAGTGTGTTGTAAACATTAAGTTGATGAGTGTGGTTGCTACTGCTATTGTCTAACTTTGATAAATTATAGAGAGGAAAGTTTATCATTTCTCCCTGTCTTCTGCCTTCCCAGTTGTTGTGGGTCCTATGCTGTCAATGTCCCAGGTATCTTCTTACTAAAGCTCTCAATGTGTTTAGAGTTTTTCTATTTTATCAATGTCTCATGCATTCTTAATGACCAACATCCTCATTTTTACTGCCTCTCTGCTCCCCATAATTGAGAGCAGCTTCCTCACTATCTCTGGTCTTTGGACCTTTGCTTTCTTCTGTGATAACCAGCCATGCAATATAATGGCACAGTTGACTTCCCCTAAATGTATTCTTCCTGCCAGGAAGGAAGGGCTCAGCACACCTGGTCAACAGTTGGTAATTGTTCAAAATTCTAAACAGTCCCGAGGACAGACCTTTTACTAATGGGATTTTATAAATCATGACCAAAAGCAACTTAGGGGAGGGAGAAATTTATTTGGCTTAAATTCCAGGGTACAAGCCATTATCACAGGGACATCAAGGCAAGCACTTAAAGTGTCACATCCACAATCAACAGCAGAGAGAGAATAAATACCTAGATTCTGACTCACTCACTCTTTAGTCTGTTTAATAAGCCCCCTCTATTCTCCTCATATAGCAAAACTCAAAACCCCTATCCAGTGAAGTATGTCACAGACAGTGGGCTGAGTCAACCAATAATCAAGACAATCCCCTATAGACAAGCCAATCTAATATAGCTATTTCCTCAATGGATACTCTTCCCTGGTGACTTTAAACTGTGGCAAGTTGACATCTAAAGTAAACCAGCACACTGAGGAATCTTAATGCTCACTGAGACCCCTGTCTTCTTTGTACCCCAGAATAGAGCAGAGCTACATGCAGAAGCGCTGGCAGGATGTACGTGTGGGAGACTTTGTCCAGATGCGGTGTAATGAGATCGTCCCAGCAGACATCCTTCTCCTCTTCTCTTCAGACCCCAGTGGTGTCTGCCACCTGGAAACTGCCAACTTGGATGGAGAGACCAACCTCAAGCAGAGGCGTGTTGTGAAGGGCTTCTCACAGCAGGTAAGGTAGCCTCTCTACACCTATGTGGTGAGGTCAGAGGCAGGAAGCAAGCTCATCTCTCAGAATGCTGAACCTACACTGGCAGGAAGAGAGAAGGTAGCAGATGCCTCTTTAGAAACTCACTCCTTCCAGCAATCCTCTGGGTAGCTATCATGCCCATATCACAGATAAGAAAACTGAGGCTTAAAGAAGTCTGTAACTTGCTGGTGGCTTGAATTTACAAGTGATGATTAAATTCATCCACCTGGACAACCTATCTTATATTCAAAATAGAGTCTTATAATTGCTCAGTTACAAATACAATCAACCCTCTCTTCTGTGCTCAGCATACCCTGTTCACTCTGCCCAGTTCAAATCTGAGTATGAATCTTCAATATTTCTTTGGCTCCTTCTTAACCACAACAGGATAATCGTAGTTATTTTCTGTGTGTGTATGAGTGTGTGTGTGTGTGTGTGTGTGTGTGTGTGTGTGTGTGTGTTCAACATCAGGTCTGTCCTCAGAAGCAATCCACCTCTTTATTGAAACAGGGTCTCTCATGGTTCTGGAGTTTACTGAGTAGGCTATGGTAGCTGGCCAGCAAGCTCCAGGGATCCACCTGACTCTACCTCCTCACTTCTGGGATTATAAGCATATACCATGCTCAGAATTTTTTAAAGTGGGTTCTAAGGATCAAACTCAAGTTCTCATGCTTGCACAGCAAGCACTTAACCAACTGAGTTATCTCCCAATCCCCATTTTTCCCTCTTGTGCACCTTCTTTATTGACAGTCCTAATCCTCTCCTAGGTCAGAGAGCCCTTGTTGATGCTTTTGTTATTTCTTTTATATCATTTTTTTAATTTAAAGCAAACTTTTCTCATTTTGCATATCAGTCCCAGTTCCCATTACCTTCCCTCCCCCTGTTCTCCTCACCTTCCCCCAACCCTACCCCCATCCACTCCTCAAAAAGTGTAAGGCCTCCCATGGGTAATCAACAAAGTCTGGCACATCACTTTGAGGCAGGAACAAGGCCTTCCCTCCTAGATCTAGGCTGAGCAATGTAGCCCTCCAAAGAGAATAGGCTCCAAAATGCAGTTCAAACACTAGGGATTGAGAAATCTTGGTCCCACTGCCAGTTGCCCTACAGACTGCCCAAGCCACACACTGTCACCCACATTCAGAGGACCTAGTTTGGTCCTATGCAGGTTCCCCTGCTGTCAGTCCAGAGCACACTTTTGTTATGTCTTATACTTAATCAGAGCAGTGCTAGAGGGTAGAAGAAATATAGATAGTTTGGTGCTGACCAACTATGACTCTAGGTTTTGACAGAACTGTATTTATAAGTTCTGTCACATATAAGCTGTCTCGTTTTACACAAGTTATCACTCTCACACCTTGGTTCCTTTATCAAGGAACAAGAGGCAAAAATAATACCTTTCCCTTAGAGTAACTCTAAAGACTAAATGGTATAGAACTGAGTTACTTGGCATGGACATCACACTGAAAGAGTCTGGTAAACAGTTGCTATTAATATTAATGACCTTCAGAAACAATTTTTTGGCTAATTGGGAATGATATTCTGGTTTTCTATTGAAATCATTTCCAACCTGGCACCTTTCTCTATCAACAGAAAAGGGGAATTCTGTCGCTTTTTTATTCTGCCAGCTTTTGGCTGGGGAGAAATTAAATAAGTCAGGGGATTTGGGAGAAAGAAAGCAAATGTCCGATTCCTCTGAGGGTCTCACAAGCTATAGTTCTATGCTATATACCATTTCTCAAGAGGAAACAGTATATTCTGCCTCAGCTTGCCGCCTCCACAGTATCTAATGAGCAGTTCTTAAAATGCTTCCTTCCGATGTGATTGACAATCATCCTATGTCTGGTCTCCTCTCCACTTGTAGACACGAATGCCAACAGGTGTCCCATAGAGTGCCATGAGCGTGAGCTGTAATAAGGAAAGCAAGGAGCAAAATGAGGGCTTGGTGCTTGCTACATACACAATAGGTGGTCTCTATGGCTGGAACCCACCTTCACCACATCTTTGTCACTGCACTCACTGCAGTGACCACAGCTCTTTGCCTCTTGGTCTCTGAACCCCATTGATCTGGCTTGGCCTCTTGAGTTTTGTGTTCCTTGGCTTGTCCCTCCCTTCAGGGTTTACAAAGAGGAAGACAAAAGTCTAGTGTACAGTCACAAAGTCCTTCAAGGCAGGCAGGAAGAATCTAGATCTGGACTTGAGGCCCTGTGACCTACTTCCTTGATCAGAAAACTTTTTAACTGATACTTACAGTCAAGATTATACATTTATTACACACACACACACACACACACACACACACACACACACACACACACACGATGTGTGTACAGGCGAGTCTGACACCTGAGTCTGGAAACAGGCAAGGGTATCTTAGACTTGGTACTTGGTTCTATTCTTCTTGTAAGTTACTTCTAGAAATAACAAACTTTTACTTGAGTAAACATCTCTGCTTTAAGCTCTCTGACTTCAGCATCCTCATTCAATTTGAAATCTCATTTCCCCTCTCATGTCAAAGCTGTTGAATTTCAGCCACTGTTGCTTCTTCTTCCTTTGGCCTCGGTTCCTGGCTGTTTCTAGTATATCATCAGACATGTTGGGACTTAACTAAAGTGAAGCTGGGTGAAAGAATCCTTCATACTCCAGCACCTCAACCATTCAGTTCAATAAACATTTCTAATTGCACCCTGAATTCTCATCAGTTACTTGGCCTTCCTTCAAAAAGATAAACTTATGTGTGAAAAGAGGGAAATTTATTGACTTGGCTTCTGGAGCTCTTTTTCCATGTCCTGATTTCCCTTTGCTCAAGAACATTTGTGATTCACTAACAACAACAATAAGCTTGAGCCCGTGGTTAGAGTTTTGCATGATTAACTCTGTCCTCACAACAGCCCAATTGATGGACACCATCAGCATCCTCATTTTACAAATAAAGAAACTTGGACACAGATATGTCACATCTTTCACCCATAGTCACTGAGCTGTAAAGTTAGAACCAGAATTCAAAACCACATTTGTCCATAAAGTCCCTGGTAGCACCCCCTCCTGACCCTTTGACTGTAACCTGGCATTTGCAGAGGGGTGCATATAGGAAAGCATTTATTTATCATTTACAGATTCTTTCCAGACATAAGTAGCAGGTTGCTGGAAGAATAAAGCAGTGGGATCAAAGGAATAAATTCCAGGCCACTCTCTGAACAGGAGGAGTCTTGCATGGTCTCTGCTTTGCTGCTTCCCCCTAATACCTTTAATGCATAAAATTTCTGGATATGCACAGAATTCACTATTGGCTAATGCTGTACCACAGAGTTTCCTCAGTGCATTAAACAAAGATATGGATGAGAGTTTCAAGAAAGGAGAACACTGCAAAGATAAATAAGATAAGAAGATAATAGGCTACACATTTTAAAGTCTGTCCTGTCGGACTTGTCTGATCCTTTAGTAAGTCCCAAGAAGGAGGAGCATGGAATGTTCCTTTATACAAGCACAGAAATCTTTTATTCCAAGGAACAGATCCCAGGACTGCCATTGGAAGGGTGGGATCACTCTTAGAGATTTACTGCAGATGCATGGTGGGTACTGAGAATGCATCATCACTGTCCTGAGAAGCTTTCACAAATATCCATACTCTCTCCCATTGCCACAATAAAACAATGACTAACAGAACCTGGGCATGCATAACTTGGCAA